TAACCTTTGGAACTCTAGATAGAAAATACCTCTCAGCACTTAATCTGCTATCAATTTTTGCTGTTAAGCCAGATGGATCAAACTTTGTGTTTAACCCAGAATGCTAATTACTAAATTGTAATTTTAAAAATTCAAAGTGAACACTTTGGAAATGGTACTTTAATATGCCTTATTTTTTTTATTGCAGGATGACAGAGCAAAGTTGAACAAGCCTTCGGTAAGTGTGACCATCTCAGATGTCTCGGTGGATAGAGTTATTTTCATTGTCTTTAATACCTGGCAGACTGAAGGCAGAGGTCTTTTACTTAGCTGGCTGAGGCCAGCACAAGTCTTTCTAGGTAAGATGAATGTATAACCTGCTGGCTTGGCAAAAATTTTTATTTGTGTAGACTAGTCAGTATGTTTTGTTAGGATAGCTTGTGTGTTATTTTTGTAAGACTCTCAATACTTTTTTTTATCATAATTATCAATAAATATCTTTTGAAGAGCTATTTTTTATAGGGAAGTGCCAGGTGACCTTGCCTCCTGTGAATTGTCATCTGAGGGAGTGGCCACTCTTGGGTCACACGTAGACTGGAGAAGTCAGAGATAGTCAGTGTCAGGTGTAAGATTCAAGAAAAAACAGATTGGGAACAGATTAAGAGAGCAACTTTGAGAGCTGTATGGAAGAGCAAAGTGGGCATTACCAGAGGATGGAAGATACCCGCCTAGTGCTTTCGTTAAGCCGCGTGCATGCCACGGGAAGCACCCTCTGCCATCAGGGGAAGGTGCTGTTGCACTTCCACAAAGGAAATCGAGTATAAAGGAGTGTGGTGTTTTATTAATAATCCCCATTATGAGCAAGATACAGTCACCCATTGTCATCTGTGACTTATGGAGTAGCCTGTTTGGTTAAATAAACTGGCCATTTTCTTTTAACTCATTTGCTTGAAAAAATATTTATCTTCTATCCTTTGAACAGCATCCTGGTGGGGAAGAAGTCTTAAGGGAACACGCTGGAGGTGACGCTACTGAAAACTTTGAGGATGTTGGGCACTCTACGGATGCTAGGGAATTGTCCAAAACATACATCATCGGGGAGGTTCATCCGGTAAGTACTTTTGGAGAGTGCTTTGTTCTTATTTCTCTTGAAGGCTATCGGCTTATCTTACCCAAGCATGTGGGTTTGCATGTACCCAAATTTAAAAAGGAGTAAAGTAAAAACACCTCCTTCTGATTTTAGAGCACCATTTTTGTCATAAACAAATTGACCAAAAATTTCTTTCCATTTCCCTGGCTGCATTTTTTACCGGCACTTCGAGTTGGAACGCTCTGCCCAAGGCCATGTGCTGGGGAATGATTCTCAGTCTTAGAGATTCCGTGGGGCAGCGAATTTTAAAAGGTAGGGGTGTCAGTCCAGCATAGTTTTCTTTCCCTTTTTCTTTTTTGACAAAAGTATTTTTCTTAGGAAACCCCCTTCTCCTTTCTGAGGATATTTT